ACACATGTGTATATGCATATGCATACATATACAAACGTGTATGAATGTAATAATGAGATGTGTATACACACAGATATATATGAATACTACATAACATCTGGTACTTTTAGCCAATAATACTCCAAGTAGTCAAACAACATAATTGGTATAGTGATTCTTAAATTGTGATTCTCACACCATTACCAGGAGTTTGAGATGGGGATCTCAAGTGTTGATTTTGAGCATGAGGCCCTGGAGTATGCATTCATAACCAGATATCTTCTAATGAGAGTTACTAAATTAGCACTGCTGGTAGCATGTTGTGACTCTTCACCCTGCTCAGAACGCCTAAGTCATAAACTCCAGGATAGGGGGTAGCAGTTCCATTTAACTCCTCAAATTAGTCTTACTAATCCTATGTTGAGAACCATTACCTGTTTACCTACATGACTGTGGTTCAAATAGTCTTTGGAACACACTCAGGATTTCTGCCCAGGACAGAGGCATTTTTCAAAGACGAAAACATGTCTAAATCAGTGTAGTTCAGGACCATACTATATTAAAGGTAAAATGCTAGAGAGTTTAAAGGGCCCATGCATCATTGGTTTCGGCAAAATTCCTAATTTTCCTATAGTGACTCTTATCAGGACCCTCAAAAGCTGTAATTCTCCAAGTTTAGTCATTTCGCACTAAGAAGAAAGGGTTCAATAAGTACTAATATGTACATATGGATTTATTAAAACATATGTAAATGAATATCATGAAAAATGTCCACTAGTTGCTAAAAATTTTCAGTAGGAATAGAAAATGCTACTTTATAATATGCCAAGAATTTTCTGCTAATATACCATCAGCTTAAGTTCTGTCACTTCCAAAAATCGTTTGCAAAATTTTTCTCCCAAGTATATGGTAGAGCACGTTAAACAAGATTTTAGGGAATAATGATTTATTTGACATCTTTTAGATTAAGGTCTCTGTCATGTAAATAATTGATTGGTGTGTGGTTTCGAGGCATAAGATTCAATAAAGTCTCATGTTCTCTATTAGTAATATGCTTGTTTTTCTTGTGGGAATTCATAGACACAAAGCAGCTTTTTATCCCACTTAAACTCTTGGACTGTTGAACGTATTTAAATTTCAGAGGTCAGTTTGCTACTACAAAGGATGACAAAATAAATCACGGTCCAGTTCATCCTGTTTTGAGTTGTGGTGATTGGGTCTGAGCATTAAGTTTGCTGACTGGTTATTTTCATAGTTGCTGACTGGTTATTTTCATAGTTGTTTCTTGAGTTTGAATTGTTTTATCCTCTTATCCTGTTAGACTGCATTGCTGCAGCAAGGCCCTGTTGTACTTGAAAGACATCCTCACTTGGTTTGTCAGCTCCTACCTATCTGTTTCCTTGCACTTGCGGTTCATGAGGTCATTATTCTGTATTTGATATTTCCTTTATGCTTAGCTCCTTTTAATGCTGTCTCCTTGTGGTTGGTTTGGGTAACCAGAACGCCTATCACCTGTGATGGTTTTACGCCTACATTAAGGTTTCCCATGGGACTAAAAATACAACAGTAGTCTGTTGGCTCTCAGGCTACTTGCCCTAATTGACCGTGTACAACCTCAAACAATTCTACATCAGTAATTAAAGGAAGTAAAGTTATTTACCCCTCCTAAAAGAAAAGAAGAAGAAGAAATACATTGACTTCATTTCACTTGATTTGTATTAGGCCTGCTAGAAACATACACAGGAAATGTGGTAGACAAGCTGTGTGGTATATTTCACACTAACCTCTGTTGATTAAAGATGACTTACGGTTATATATCAAGCTGTATTGAAATCTTAACAGTGACTGAAATGAGAACTTCATAGAGTCTCTTTAGAGAAGCAGCATTAGAGTTGAATTTACTTCATTTAAACTCCCTTACCTCCTAAGTTTTCGGTTATATTTGTTATGTGTGAGGAACTTTGCAGGGCGCTATTAAATGAGTGATCTACATGAAGTGTAATACATGAGAAAAACTAACCTCACTGCTGAGCAGTGTGTTGTATTATACATTGAATGTTTGTGTTCTGGAATTTAAAAATTATTTAAAGTAATAGTGTCAATGAAGGGTTTAAAAATGTCTGGTGACTTGCTTATTTTAAGTAATCACCATTAGTCAGAAAAATGTATTTTTAAATGTTTTTAAAGTGCCTTTTGAGAATTTTTAAACAATGGATTCAAACAACTGCATAAAATAAATGACCATGTTCAAAAAAAAATTTAAAAAGGCCTTTAATAAAATCCAACATCACTTCTTGACACAGGTCTTGGAGAAATCAGGCATACAAGGGACATATCTAACATAATAAAAGCAATATACAGCATGCCTACAGTCAACATAAAATTAAATAAAGAAAAACTCAAACAAATTCCACTAAAATTAATAACAAGATACGGCTGTCTGAAGCCGCAGGGCGATTGGTAATGAAAAGTCCCCAGACTATCTTGATACAAAATATACAGCTTTAATGAACAGAAGTAAGACTTACAACAGCATATACCAGAATCCAAACGATCCGTCCGAACACAGGAGTCAGGCGAAAAGAGAGCTAGCGGAGCGTGCTTGCTAGGTTTATTGGTAGGCTTTAGCCTGAGGGCGGCACGCCCTAAAAATAGAATGTGATTAGCTGAACTCCCCTATCAGCTGTCTACTCTCTCCATAACTACTTAATATAGTACCTGAAATTCTAGCTAGATCAATAAGACAACCAAAAGAGAGAAAGGGGATAAAATTTGGAGAGGAAGAAGTTAAATTATCATTATTTGCAGATGATATGATAGCATATATAAGTAACATCCCAAATCCTACTAGGGAACTCCTTCACCTGATAAATACCTTCCCTGATGTCAAAATACTGGCCTTGGTGATAAGATACCTTTCTAGCAGTGTTGATAACTGAGGTCCCAAATAGTCCACCAAATACAGTTGATTGCTTCAGCTCTTTGCTGTCCACCAGATTTGTATCAATGGACATTATTCCTCATATGCAGGGTATAAAGAAATCAACCTGGAACTGAGACTGAATTTCTCACTGCTTTGCCATTTTTATATGACAAAAAGTGTTATGCAGGATTATGAGGGGTGAAATCTTCAACAGTCTTTCTTATCCAGCTGGAAATTCTGACAAGTAGAACTACCAAACAAGATGTAACCATTGGCGTTATAGTGACATGTCTCTGTGCAGGATAATCAGGTATTTTCTCATTGGATCTAAGACGTGCTTGCCTCTACAGTAGAGGATTTGTGCTTGTCACTGTAAACTTGCCTATGAGCTTATGGTTGGGCAACACACAGCAAGTAGCAGATTGATAGAACGTGCAGATAGATACAAAAATACCATATTTGAGAGAAGGCACAAATTAACATTATCAAATCAGGTGCTTATAGTATACAGCAGAAGGGGCTGTGGAAACCCTCTGGAAAGCATCACTGGAGTTCCTAAGTGAGAGGTTTCCAAGTCAAGTAGATTCTCTGATCTATGGTTGAGCCCCCAGCTTCTGGTTCCCATGTCTTCTCCCCAGATACTTATAAACCCTGAGATAAATAACAGTAGCCACATGGGAAGGGTTCACCCTCTAGCTGTTCTCAAAAGCAATATAATGTTTTCAATAACCTTGGCTGTTTGCTTTTCTTTTTCTTCTACTTCAAAATAAGGGGGTCAGCCTGTCCCAGGACATGGAGTTTTGAAGGACATTTGAGATACACCTCTTTTTATTTTGATGCCAAGGAGAATGTCCAGGCTCTCAGAGACTGATTTCAAAAGGATAAGTATCACATGACTGTCTACCAATAAAATGCATATATTAAAGGTTTCAGCAGGAGGTAGTGGGATAAAAGAGAAAATAGTGGAGGGTGAAAATGATCAATGTTTATCATCTATTTAAAAGTGAATTATGTATCTGATAACACTTTGAAAATTTCATTGTTCTGTACGCATGATAATTTGTTGAATTCTGTATGTACTTCCTTTGGAAATCCACAGTGAAAGGTAAATCTGCCACCCGATGAAAAAATGAGAAGAAAATGTTTTCTTTAGACATTCCTCAAATTATTCCAATTGTTTTTCCACAGATGAATTTGAATACTGTTGTTACAAATATCCTTAAAAACATGTATCTGAATGCAAGCATTTGCTTCTATTTAAAGTATATAAAGTAAGAGCATTCAATATCGAGTGAGAAAAAAGAAAGTGGTTTACATGTTGTTTCAAACGTTCAGACCAAAAAGCACTTAGAGCATTTTTAAAATGTTATTTTTATTACAAAGGGGAAAGATGACACTTTTAAAGAAAAGCATTGATCTTCAATGTCAAACAGTAAGAACTTTGGCGAATACAATTCTTTTTTTTTTGTAACAGAAAACAATTATAACACTTAAAAATAGGCGATTATTAAAACAAAAACTCTTCAAATTAAAAATAAAAAAAAGCTCACTGTGGGCTTTGCCTCTCCTACCCACGCATACCCATGGGTACTTACTGACTCTGCCCTACTTAGAGCTGGGCTCGGATGGGAATATAAGCGAAGGCTGGTAACACTGTGCAGGAGAGTAACCTGATCCCTAACCCTCTTGCAGGACTGCCTCCGCCCACTCCCACCTTTTTTGTTTTGTTTTGTTTTTGTACACTACCCAGAAGCATGCTATGTCCACCCTCCACTTTAGTCCATCACTTGGGCCTTGGCCCCGCCCACATTCCCTTACCAGCTGGTTCTCAGCCCTCGTCACGCCATGTCGTCATTGAAACCCTCACTAGCCTGACAACCTTTCTCCTGCCCCGCTGAAGTTCTGGACTCTGGACGCCACCCGTACTCACCGACCTCCCTTCACATTTTCGTCTCAGTCCTTCTATACCCTCTAGTAACGCCCCTCGACAACGTCAATCACTTTGTCTGACCCCGCCTACTTTCCCGGAGCAGGCTTGGAAGCACTCGGCCCGGAAGCAGTTCAGCTCAGGTCAAGTCCTGTAGTCCGGTGAGTTTGCCCAGAACCTTTAGATTGGTTGCCTGCCTAGGAGCTGCGGCGGAGAATCTTGACCCATTCCCAGGAACCGTATTTTGTGCGCCCAGCTCAACCCGCGTGACGCGGAGAGCCGCGAGACTGAGGAAGTAGGGACGTGGGAGAGAGATGGCAGCAGAGCGAGGCTGCCCAGAGAAGAAACACCCAGAAAGGATCAGGGACACGGATTCAGACGCTTCTGCGACTGGGGAGGAGACTTGACTGTCTTTGGTGAGGGAAGAGCCAGGCGATGAGGGGACTAGAGAGGTGACCGTGGACCGGCTTGTGGCCCGTCGGAGGGAATACAGAAAGCAGGGTCTGGAGTACAGAAAGCAACGGGAGGTGAGGGGACACGAGCTGAGCTGCCATTGTGTGGAGGGCGGCTGGAAAGAAAGAAAAGCTGGAGGTGGAAGGTGTCAAGGAGATAGTGCAGAATGAGGGAGGGAGAGGCTAGATAATGGAGGAGTTGATGGGTTAATAGGGTTATTGTTATTGAGCTTGCCTTTTTGTTGAAAAAGCTCTGCTTAAATGTTGGTAGTGAGGAAGAGAATTGCAAAATGTGTATCTGCCGGGCACGTGCAGTTTAACGTTAAGGGAGTTTGTGCAGGGCATGTTGGCACACACCAGTAATGTCAGCGTGTAAAGGCAAATCTGGGGTAGGAATATGGAGAGTTTAAGGAAGCCTGGAAAAAAATAACTTAAGGCACTTTCCAAGTGAATAAATAATGTTGAGGTTAGAGGATACTGCCCCCGTTTAGACCTTCTTCAGCCAGAACAGTGATGTGATTTCTTTAGACATGGTCACCTTTTGGTTTCACAGGTGTGGTATGGAGGAGTGGTGGGATGATTTCCTTTTTTCTCAAAGTGGCAACTTTCTTGTTGTCTCTCCTGCAGTAGTTTATTGTCCCTACAGCCCCTTGCTGCAGTGGGCTAAAAAGGTCCATTTTTCTGCATGGTGAATTCCTGCCAGTGACTCTGGCTGTGGCTCAGGAAGTGGGTGCCTTGCTTGGTTGGTTTGAATGTCTTTGTAATCCCAGCTCGCAGGAGACTCACGCAGGAGGATGATGAGTTCAAGTCCAGTCTGGGCTGTATATCGTGCCTTCATCTCCAAAAGGGAAGGGAAGTGGCTGTGTTTATCTGGAACATTATGTTTTACTATTTTTGAGAGAAGGTTTTGCTAGTTCTACTAGTTCCATAAGGCCTGAAAATCACTAGCCTGACTGGCCTTGAGTTCACAATCCTCAGCCTTTAGTGCTAGCATTGTATATGTATGCAGGCCCATTCTCTTTTAATATTATTCAGAAAATTAGGGTTTTATTAATGAAAGCACTTCACAAACCTGTGATATCTTAATTGTGTGCTTTTGGTATTCAGGACTGACTTCTGAATACTCAAGTTACTCAAGGAAGAAGCTGGGAGGAGGAGAATGAACAAACAGAAAGAGCCAGTAATGTCTGCCATGAAGGTACAGTGAGCCACTGTCGTCTTCCCCCCACCACCACATTTTTTCTGCTCTCCCTGAAGTGTTAGGCATGGAAGCTGCTGTCCTGCACTGAGTGTAGCACAGACATTTCACTTGCTCTTCCTCGGGTTTTCCCTTAGCCTTTGTTGTGTTCACTAGATTTCATCTCACAATAATCCTGTGATATAGAACATGGAAGAAACTTCTATTGAATATGTTCTAAAAGCAGCCCTTGTGCTAAGGATTGCCTAGTAAGGATTGACCAGGTGGACTGTTAGCTCTCTAGATGTAGGAAAAAGATGCTCTACTTTGAAATCACATTTTGACATGTACACACAGATACTTCTTCAATTATGGGGATAAGGAGACCTTCATGTGAAACTGCATTCTTCATAGCCCAGTATACTGCAGGATATAATGTCAGTGGTCATTGTTTTCTAGAGAACATCTCAACTAAAATTGGGATAAGGGTTAGAGGGTGTTGTATTTCACCATTAAGATATTAGGGTTTTTTTTCCCCCTTCTTTTCAGAGAGAGTAAGATTATCTTCCTGTGTAGCTATGGCTGCTTCCTCAGTGCATTCTGGGCTATCATGATCTCTCCATGTATGTGGAGTATGTACTTGTTCATGTGAGTGTATGCTCATACGTTGTAGGCATGTTTGAAGGCCAGAAGTCAAATCAGTCATCTTCCTGGGCGGCTTACTTCTCTTATTTTGATACAGCATGTCTCATAGGATCTGGAGTTCATTAATTGGTTAAGCTGGCTGGACACTAAGCACCATGGATTTGTCTCTCTACTAGTACAGTGCTGAGTTTACAGATGCTCTCAGCTTTTATGTGATGCTGGGGATACAAGCTCAGGTCCACTTCCTTTCCAGGCAAGCACTTTGCTGCCTGAGTTGTCAGTATGAACCGGTCTCAGTGCTCAACAAAGGGGGCTCTGTAAACATTCTCAGAACTTCTATCCTGTAGACCCTGCTGTTCCCATGAGACTCTTCTGAATCTCACATTTCTGATAAAAGTAATTCTATTTTTCAGTCTTGGGAGCATATTTCCCTGTAATAAAAGCACAATAATATTTTCCTCCTGTTAATTAGTATTGAATATTCAAAAGTAAAAATGTGAATGTGTATTCCAAACAGACTCTTTCATCATAAATCTGGAAGCAGTCCTGAATTTTAGGAAGTGAATTGAAGCATGCTTTTCCTTGCCTATTACCATTTCTTAGACACCAGGAAACCACAGCTGCAGTTCTTTCAGGAGTTTAAAAGATTTTTTAGGGTACTTTATTTTGTTAGTTTTCGAATTAGGAAAGTAGAGTAGCATCTCTCTCTCTCTCTCTCTCTCTCTCTCTCTCTTTCTCTCTCTTCTGTCTCTCATTTTCTCTTGTTTTCTATTTTTCTTTTTAATTTTTCAAGATAGGGATTCTCAGGGATTCTCTGTATAGCCCTGGCTGTCCTGGAACTTGCTAACTTGCTTTGTAGGCTGGCCTCAAACTCACAGAGATCTACCAGCCTCTGCATCCCAAGTCCTGGGAGTAAAGGTGTGCGCCATCACCGCCCGACATACTCCTTTCTTTTGTGACAGTCTTTCACTCTTGTTTTCTGGAACTCTATGTAGTTCAGACTCACCTTTACCCCATAGTAAAATCTGTAGCTTCAACCTCCAGAGGCTTGGTTTTACAAAAGTAAGTTACCATTTCCAATGCTTTTTCACAGTTTTGTGGAAACATTCTATAAATGAATGTACATAGTTCTCACATAGTGTTCAGTGAACACATCTTGATTTTCTTCACTGTGAATTGTGATAGAACCAGGGTTCCTGATAAGGGCTACAAATTACCCCTCTAGACTTGGTATTAGAATTATACCCTTCTAAGTGGTTCTTGTATTTTCACACCATCTCAGGTTTCATTGCTAAAATCCAAAAGTTTTGGATTTTTCGTGGTCCACATATTGTTGATAAATTTGTGTATAAAGCAGAGTTTTCTTTGTTGGATTGCATGTTTCATGAGACTGTGATGAGGAAACATGGTCCTCTTGATTACCTGGTTCTGTGTTGTAACCACATCAATGTGTTAATTTTAGTAAATCTACTTCTGCTGTTCTCTTCACCATCTTCTTTTCCTCTCACTATAGTAATGATTGCTGCATGCTTGGCTAGTCACCTCTCTGCTTTCTACCCTCTGGAGAAAATGGTGGTCATGATAGTTTTAATGTTTGGGTTTATTTAATATCATGTTTTCTTTTCCTACATGTTTTTACTGCTGACAAGTGTATTAAACATACAAAGTAATAAGCTCACTCTAGCCCTGCACTCAATATGCAGTACCGTCCGACCTTGAACTCATAGAGATCCTCACACCCCAGCCTTTAAAGTGCTGGGATAATAAGCCTGTGTTATGGCACTGAGCTGACTTCTTAAGGCCCTATGATGTCATCTCAGAAGACATTGCATGAATTAGCTCAGTTAGAAACTGAACTGGGTGTGTCAAACATCTTATCCACCACTTGAGTTGAGATGAGCTTGTGGGTTTTTCTTTTCCTTTGATCAAATAAGAACCAAGTGGTAGTTACGGGAATTGGGCAAAAGGGGGTGAAAAAAGGTTTTGGAGGACACAGTGAACGTTTATCAGAGTGGGCAGTGAATGAAAGGAGCAGACCTTGTGTTGGCTTTTGTTTGTTTTTGTATTGTCTACAAACATGAGAAATGCTCTCTGACGTGATACCATAATATCTCATAACAAAGCAAAATAACATTAGGGACATATAGTGTTGTTCTGATGCATCTTAATTTAGGAACATAGGAGAAACAAGGTTAGGTCTTGTACATTCATTAATCAGAAAGTTTAAGGTAGCCCACATGTGTGGGGTTTTTCTTACATGCCAGTCAAGTAGCTCTACAGTGTACTGCAGCCCAGAGTCAGCTAACTCAGTTGCATTCTGACACTAAACAGCTAGAAGACTCAGTTTCACAGAATATGCTCAACAAGGATTTATACAGATTCCTCCTCAGTTTTATGGTTCATTTCTTAGGGCAACTTACAAAACCAAGGAAACCCTTTACCTTTTCCTATTTATTATAAAGAACATTCTAAAGACTCTAGATGGCAGGTTGTTCAGAGAAGACACAAAAAGCAATGTACATGAGATGGGCTGTGACTTTCACTTCCTCCTTGGATAAGCCACTCTTTAGTACTTTCCCCACAGCAGAATGTAGGGTAAAAGCTTTAAACTCTGATTTGAGGTTTTATGAAGATTCCATTATTCACATATTACTTAATTCCTTTGGTCATTGGTATTCACTCAAACCTTCAGCCCCAATCCTCTCCATGGAGGATGGGAACTAAGACCTGAAGTTCGAACCTATTCCTGCCTTGGTCGTCTTGGGCCCTTGAAATTGTCCTGTAACTCGGGACTTCATTTTACCTTTCATCATAACCATAGGAAACAAATCCATTCTTATCACTCTGGAGATGCCAGGTGAACTGTATGTCTGAAAACTAGGCAAAAACATATGTTATAGGAAGGCTGTTTGTTTGTTCCCTGGCCACCCAGACTCCTGAAATACCACAGAGAAACTGTATTAATTAAATCACTGCTTAGCCATTGTTATTGGATAACTCTTACATCTTAATTTAACCCATTTCTATTAATCTGTATATTGCCACATGGCTGTGGCTTTCTGGATAAAGTTCCGTCCAGCGTCTGTTTCTGCCAGGGCTACATGACTTCCCACTGACTCCACCTCCTTTCTCCCAACATTCAGCTTAGTTTTCCTCACCTGTCTCTCTTTTGCCCTGCCAGACCAAAGCAGTTTCTTTATTCATTAACCAATAAAAGCAACGCATATATAGGAGGACTTTCCACATCAGACATATAGTTTATAATCTCACAGAGTGGTGGTGGTTTGGTCTCTTCAACTCAGTTTTTCTGTTTTTCCATTTTTCTTGTCTTTTTGTAAAGATCCTAAATGTCCACGTAGTGAAATGTTTTTGTTTCCTTTTAGGAGAAGTTGACTTTCAGTGATGTGGCCATAGAGTTCTCTCAGGAAGAGTGGGAATGCCTGGACCCTGCACAGAGGGCTTTGCACAGGGATGTCATGTTGGAGAACTACAGCAACCTGGTCTCCCTCGGTAAAGTTGACTTCCTTCAAGAGTTGGGAATCTTTGCCATGTAACCTTGCAGTTTTCATGCCTTTGGGGGAACCATGTGGCCTCTTCCTTTCTTCCTCCTACTGTCCCTTGTTCCTTCTTTTGCTCTGCATTGGGAATAGAACCTAAGACTTTTTTACCAACAAGCATTCTACCACTGAGTGTTATTTCTGGCCCTTGTGGTAGATTTTGTTTTTGTTTTGATCTCTTGAGTTGTATAGTATAGAAGCCTTGAACTTAATAGGTTTTTTTCCCCTCACATTCCCTAGTGCTGGAATTACTGGCATATGTCACTATGCATGACTCATGTCACCTAAACTTGTGTTTAAAGTATCCAATGTTGAGTGTTCTATGTTGCGTGGGGTGTTCAAAGAAGGAGAGTCACGTGAAGATGTAATTTTAGGTCCTCTGGCAACAGGGAGGAAAACAGTCTCTGTGACCTGAACTTTGAACCTCTGTTCAGAAGCATATTTATTGACAGTACACAAAAGTTGTATTAGGAGTACCAAAGCCCCTTTGGTCTATATGCTTTCTGGAGGAAATCATCACATTCCCCAAACTTTTACTTCTTATTTTGTACTTCTTGCAGTACCTAAAAGTGCAAGATCTCCAGGTGTGCTTGGATAGTCCTGTGACTAAAATCATACAACAGAAAATAAATCTATAAATCATTGAAAGCAATCACTCTTCTCTATTGTGGTTTCTTCATGGTTTGGTACCTTCAACTAACACTAAGACATTCTACTGTTGCCCTAAATATAGTGAGGAACAGCAATTATCTTTTATGTTTACCCTAGGTACAAATGACTGTACTAGAGTCCCACCACATCCAATTCTTTGCTTTCTTTCCCTGAACTTTTGATTCAATCATTTTGATACATAACTAGATATCTGTCCATTAAACTCCCAGAAGGAGGCTGTCAGTAATGATTTTATATTTTTCTAGATTTATATGAAGCATGCTCTCTCCCCACATTAGCACAGGACAGATATTCTATAAAAACCTCACTACATGGTGTTTCTGTTTTTTTATAAACAGGAGTCACACTTCCTAATCTGAATATTATGTCTATGTTGAAAGAAGAGAAAGGGTCCTGGATTGTGGAGAGTAAGGCAGTAATAACCAGAAAACCAAATGGACAAGAATATCTGAGAGCTGTGAGGACAGGTAAGCTCTCAGAGGGTAGAGTGGAAGCTGCACCATTGTGCATTGGCAAGTCAAAGTTTCTATGGGAAACAAAAGTCTGTCACTGTCCTTTACAGGTAGAGAACTTTAGCCTTTAACTCTCCTGTGGTGTTCTGGTAGTTTTGTTTGTTTTTAATCTTTTTACTTCTTTGTGTATTTGAGGTAGTGTCTCACTCTTCATTTCAGAGTGATCTGAAACTCACTGTGTAGCTCTTGGTAATCATCCTGTCTCAGCCTTCCAAGTTCTAGGATTAGATGCGTGAGCTACTATTGATGGCCATTTGATTAAATTTTGACAGAGGTGTTATACAAGGTTCAGGGTGCAATGTGAAATGGAACATTCTATGTGGGAGGAGGATGGTTAGCAATGTTATCTCTGCAGACCAGGCTAGCATGGAACTCTCAGTTCTCCTGCTTTAGCCTGACAATTGATATAATTATGTATGTGGGCCTCCATGCTTTCCTGACAAGAACTTTGAAGAGTTTAATCTAATTGGAAATAGGTGACTGGATGAGCCACCCTGAGAGGGATTAATGTTGAACATAATGATGTATTAGTAAGGCTAAGCTGGGCCTTACTAATAAATGTTGTCATATTTAGAACTTCATTTCCCTGGATAAATAAAACTCATTATATACACACACACACACACACACACACACACATGCACACAGAGGCAGCTATTTATGTACACACAGGTTAATAATAATTTTGCTACTAAAAATAACACCGAGAATAGTGCAGGCATTACTCAAAAACTGAGTTGCCAGATGATATAATAACAACATCTGTCTTTGGCCCCTGTCTCAGTATGTTTCCTCTTCAGTACTTATTGTCACCATTGTGAAACCTACCATGACTAACTGAGAAGAACCAAATGAACAGGCTTTTGTTACTTTGCATTAGGTATTTTCCTCTGAGTGTGGACAAGTAATTTGCATACCATATATCCAAAAGTGAATTAATAGCCAAAATGTAAAACCTGAAATAAGCCAGCATGAAAACAGCCCGCCTAACAATGGGGATGTATATATGTGTTAGGCAAGAGGTGGTGCTTACACCTAGGGCCTAGCTAAGGCTCCCACCCCATTAGAAATGTGGTATTCTTTTCATTTTACTTTTTATGTATTCTTTTTTTGAGATGAACATTGCACAGGCCACTCAGACTCCTCAGATGGGTTAGAGGTACACATCATGATGCCTAACTTTAATACATATTTATTGAAGAGAAATGATACATGAAATGAAGTTCAGCATTACTATTTTGCAGAAATGCCAATTTTTACCAAAGTGAAATGTCACCTTCACTTGGAAAGATAGCTATTGTGGAAAAGGTGAGCCTTGATCTGGATGTGGTAGAAAGGGAATTTGGATTCTCTGTTGTTGGGACTCTAGATTGGGATTCATTAATGAGAACTAATTACAGACAAATCAGAAAAAGTAAATAGAACTACTGTATAATCAATAAGGCAGCTCAACTTTTGAGTGTAGATACTGAAGACTAATGATGGCATGTACATGACATGGCTATATTGTTCTTGTGACTTATGTTTGTGACATTGTTGCTAGTTGCCAAGTTAAGTAATAGATCATGTGTTCATAACCAACGCATCTGTGTGTAGTCAGAGGCTGCTCTTTTGTTTCCTGGCTGCCTAGACCCAAAATAACCACACAGAAACTGTATTATTTAAAACACTGCTCAACTTGTTAGTGTATTCATGTTTCTAGCTAGCTCTTAAATCTCAAATGAACTCATTTCTATTATTTTAAATTTTACCATGCAGTTTGTGGTTTACCAGTAAAGTTCTGGGGCACATCTATCTCCTTCAGTGGCTACATGGTGTCTCACTTACTCCACCTACTTTCTATATCTCTTTCAACCTGGCTTTACTCTGTTAAGCCTTTGGCTGAAAGCAGCTTCTTTATTAACCGATGGCAATAAAACATATTCACAGCATACATCACCTCCTAAATCACCTCCCTTTTCTATCTAAATAAAGTGGAAGGTTTTAACTTTAACATAGCAAGATTACATATAACAAAACAGGTATCAAGCAATAATTATAATTACAATATTTATTTCTACTTGATCTTTTATCATAACTAAGGAAAACTATAGTTTTAACTATCTAGTCTTCAACTCCATCAAAGACCCCAAGAAGGATATCATATTGCCTACGTTAACAGGAAGTGCATTGTAAACAACTTCCAAAACTATAAAATAAACAGACATCTCGCTGCCTAGTCTCCCAAAGTTCTTCTTTAACATTGCAGACATTCATTTTCAGCCTACAGGCCCATAGTATCTGGCATACTTTTCCATGAAGCAGGAAATTTCAAAGACTTATATTGACAGTTTGTCAGTCCATTTCTTCTCTGTTCTGCAGAATGTCTGGCAGACTTTTTCATGAAGCAGGAACATCTTCTTTAAGCAGCTTCAGTACTCATTTCTCTGTGGGTCATGCAAGTCCAGTCAAATAGTTCAGGCAAGAACAGTTTCTTCCCCAAATGGCTAACAAACACCGTAAGGAGCCTCTTCGATGCCCATCATCCTCTTGAAGTAGATTGGTGAGCAGATGTATCTCATTATCGAGAAAAGTCCCAAGTTCTTAAAACATTTTAAATGCCAAAATCTGTAGGTTTTTAAAAGGTTTGAAGTTTATCTGTCTAACTGAAATATATTTATATATTTAGAAAATCTAACTAACATGACTACAAGCTTGACTATAATAGATGACTATTAACCTGTATACAGAATTTTTAGGAAACTGCGGCAGAGACATTCAAAAATGCTGGGTCACCTGAGATACTTGTTTTTTTTTTTTTTTATCTGATCTCTTTATTTTCTGAAAACACAAACTTTATGTAACATATGTATCTGCATTAAAACAAATATAGAATGGTGTGTACAGGTCAGCTAAAGGTGATTTTTGTTCTATATTTTAGCAGGTATAAGGGATCTGTTAACTTTATAAGTCTCTGGATTATATAAACAAACCTCTATCTATGCCATTTGTAAAGATGATATGGAGTAATAAATCATTAGGCCTCTTTAGCAAACAAGATTTATCATGCTTCATCCAGTCTCAGAGCTATTCCCATGTAGAGGGATCAGCATGTACATCATTTGTTGTTTAGTTTTTCTTGTTTTTTGTTTGTTTGTTTGCTTGTTTTTTTCTTCATTTCTATAACCAAGACTTTTAGGAACTTTCTCCCAAACAAATCTGATCTTCATTAATTTTGAAGCAATTTATAGCTGTTTGTATAGCTGTTTGTTTTCTGTAAAGTCATAGGCATAACATCTTCCCCAACACATCCTATTTCCTACCTTACATTATGAAGTTAAAACATTCTTAAAATACTTAACTTAGCTTTTTTTTTTCAATTGATTATCTTTCAGGAGCATTTGTATTTTGCTCATCAGCATTCAAAAATTTTAAAGTCATCAAAGCAACATATAAGATCCAGCCCTATGTATTTTACATCCTTACATTGCTTTTTAAAAATTACTTTACTTTATTACTTTAAGCTATTTATTGATTGATAGATTTTGTTATGACTTTTCATACCCAGTTTTTCTTTCTTTAGCACCTAAGCATATACTTAAACACACTGTATGTAGCCTGTTCAGAGGCTTTCTTGACTCGAATCTGAATTTATGCATGTCTGTACCCTTCTCTGTCCACATGAACCAAACTTTTACTCTCTAGGGTGAGCACATGGCTTGGCGACTGGCTCTGCCTCCTTTGACCTAATGATCCCAGCTCTGAAAAGTTGCTGGGATCAAGATGCAGCAGGTATTTTTACTTAGCATAGCAGCTGCTCAAGTACTCTGATGAACAGCAGAATCTTTTAAAGAATCTGTAAAGAATCTGTTTCTGTATGCTGTAAGAAAGGTGCCTACCCGAAAGAACATGGTCACCAGAAAGTCAAACACTTGGGACTTTGTGTTCCAACTTGGATCACCAGCCTGCAAATAGTGATTTGGAGACTTAATATTTTTATTTATTTATTTAATTATTAAAAGTTTCCACCTCCTTTCCGCCTCCCTTTTCCCTCCCCCTCCCACCTCCCCTTCCCTTTCTAGTCCCAAGAGCAGTCAGGGTTCCCTGCCCCGTGGGAAGTGCAAGATCCTCCCCCCTCCATCCAGGTCTATAAAGGTGAGCATCCAAACAAACCAGGCTCCCACAAAGTCAGTCTATGCAGTAGAATGCCAGTGCCATTGTCCTTGGCTTCTCAGTCAGCCTTCATTGCCAGCCACATTCACTGGGTCCAGTTTGATCACATGCTCCATCACTCCCAGTCCAGCTGGCCTTGGTGAGCTCCTATTAGATCAGTCCCACTGTCTCAGTGGGTGGATGCACCCCTCACGGTCCTGACTTCCTTGCTCATGTTCTCCCTCCATCTGCTCCTCATTTGGTCCTTGGGAGGTAAGTCCAGTTCTCCAATGTGGGTCTCTGTCTCTATCTCCATCCATCGCCAGATGAAGGTTCTATGGTGATATGCAAGACTTTCATCAGTGTGACTATGGGCCAAGGCCAGTTCATGCACCCTCTCCTCTGCTGCCCAAGGAACAATCTGGGGACCTCTCCTTTGACCTGGGAACCCCTCTAGAGTAAAGTCTCTTGCAAACCCTAAAATGGCTCCCTTAATTAAGATATTTACTTCCCTGCTCCCATATCCATCCTTCCTCCATCCCACCCATCCCATTCCCCCAAGCTCTCCCGAATCCTCCCCTTCTCCCTTCTCTCTATTCATCTCCCCTTACACCCACCCTCCCACCCCCGTGCACCCAACTTTTGCCTGGCAATCTTGTCTACTTCCAATATCCAGGACTTATCATTAATTATGAAAGCTGCACCTTATTTTATGCTTTTTCCCAATTAGCTCTTATAACTTAAATTAACTCATCTCTATTAATATACATTATGTCATGTTGCTCAGTTTCTTTGCTCAATACCATATGTCTGACTTTTTCAGTGTCTCACTGGCATTTCCTCCCTTTCTTCCCTGAGTTCCTACTCTCTCCCTAGGAGTTAGACTTACTCTCTTCTGCCTAACTATTGGCCATTCTACTTTTTATTAATCCAACTCACAGTGACACATCTTCTCACAGTGTAAACAAATATTCCATAACATGACATATTACTTATCTAAATTAGTGAGAGACAGCAAACATTCCATTCATGTTTGCATTGATCATGCTCACCTCTTTTTTTAACTCTACCTTTTCTCTTTTTTCTTCCCTGATAGATTCTCTTCTACTTTATAATTTTTTTGAATCAGGCTTTTAGAAAAATTTCCACATGTAAGACAAAATATGCTATATTTGTCTTCGTATTTCATTTATTTTGCTTAATGCAACACTCTCCTGTTCTGTCAGTTTTTCTGATGAATGACAGGATTCCATGTGTTCTTTATCATTGAATAATTCTGTAATGCCTATGTTTATGAATCATTTTATTTATCATTTCATCTGTTGATGAACTTGAGGGCTGATTCCATGTTTGGGTATTGTGAGCCTTAGTTTTATAATCATGGCTATGCAGTTGTATTTTCTATATAATGACTTTGTTTCATACATAAAACCACAGGAGTTGAATGACTGAATGTTATGTTTCTTTTCTTTTGTACTACTGTAATAGAAAGCCCTGTTTATTTTTAATATGAAAGTGTTTATCATTTTACAACAAGTGATATTTTATTTTTAATATATGTCATTTTTAATTAGATGTACGTGTGTGTGTGTGTGTGTGTGTGTGTGTGTGTGTGTGTGTGTGCACAGGAAGGAGTTCAGGTGCCTGCAGAGTTCAGACATAATTGTTGGTTCCCCTGGAGCTGGCATTATAGGTGGTTGAGAGTTGTCCAATGTAGGTCTTGGGAACCCATCTCAGCTCTTGTACAAGAGTAGTGTATACTCATAAGCACGAACAGTGCTTTAGATCTTCACATCCTATATTTATCAATTTATGAACTTATGTAGCCATAAGTTTGCCTGCTTGCTTTATCATGAAATCCCAAAATTGCTTTATAATATTTACTAGGACCTACAAGTAATTGTTTTTTGTATGTGTTGTGCAGTATAAATGACATGCACTGCTTGTTAATGTTAAAAAATGTTAAATCATTAGTGGGTCTAGATAAGAGATAATTGCATTGTTTTTGCTGGTACTGTTTCTGTGAATTTTTCTTCTTCTAGCTATCATTTTGCAATTCAAAATTACCACCTAATTATATAAATTTAACTATTATTACCTTCCATTTTAATTTACTTTTGTCCTTTAGTGTGTATTTCTACAGAATATGCTGTTAATATCTACTTTTTCCCTCTCGGTTATAGTATAGCCATATATTTTTTGGCAATTAGTATGCACCTTTATATGATGAAAAAATATTCTTTTCCTGATTTATGCTACTTTGCTCAATATGAAGAATTTGGTCATGGGTTATTTGAAACAGTCACTTTTTCCTGATGATTCAAATTACATATAAATTAATTACATTAATTATGGGATCACTCATTTTATAATGCTTACATTATCTTTTATGGTTCTAAAAATTGATAAGTTAACTCAGTAAATTTTATTTTGCTGGAACTTTTTTTCAGTGTGGAATATCTGTCTTAATTAATGAAAAATCTGTTATGTCTTCTAGTCAACTCTCTTGAACATATAATTAAAGACTTACCACCAAAAGAGAGCGGCAATTCAGGGGGAATAGACCAGACAGTGGTGTCAGAAAGATATAAAAGCAGTGGCACTGAAGTCTGTTGTTTCAGAGAACTCCAGAAGAATGTACAGGATTTTGAGTTTCAAAAAAAAGATAGTGAAAGGAGTTATAAATTCACCCATAGAAGACATCAAGATTGTAGAAAGAATACAGGAAAATGCCTTAGGAATCTACTTGAAATGCAGCCATTTCCATCTACAGAGAATATTGATGATGATGAACTTAAGTCTATCACCAGTGGCTTTTCAATTTCATCATCTGAACAAATTTCGTCTATTGGTGTCAAAGCTCACATTGTTCATGAATATGAATATGATGTTTATTGTTCACTACTTATGAAAAGACGCAAAGCACATAAGGAAAAACCTTATCAATGTAATGAGTGTGGCAAGGTCTTCAGTTATACTTCTTCTCTGGCACATCATCGACAAATTCATACCAGAGAGAAACATTACAAATGTGTCGAATGTGGTAAGGCTTTTTTTCGACGTTCTTACCTTTTGGTACATGAGAGGCATCACACTGGAGCAAAACCTTACAAATGTAATGAATGTGGCAAGGTGTTCACACAGAATTCACACCTTACAAGTCATCGGAGAATTCATACTGGTGAGAAACCATACAAGTGTAATGAATGTGGCAAAGCTTTTAGTGTTCGTTCAAACCTAACTAATCATCAGGTAATTCATACTGGTGAAAAACCTTATAAATGTAATGAGTGTGGCAAGGTCTTCAGTCAGACTTCAAGCCTTGCAATTCATCGGAGAACTCACACTGGAGAGAAACCTTACAGGTGCAATGAGTGTGGAAAAGCCTTTAGTTCACATTCAAACCTAAATACCCATCAGATAATCCATACTGGAGAAAAACCCTACAAATGTTCGGAGTGTGGCAAGGTCTTTACTCAGAATTCACACCTTGCAAATCATTGGCGAATACATACTGGAGAAAAACCTTACAAGTGTAATGAGTGTGGAAAGGCCTTTAGTGTGTATTCTAGCCTCACTACCCATCAAGCAATCCATAGTGGAGAAAAACCTTACAAGTGTGATGAGTGTGGCAAGGTTTTCACGCAAAATTCACATCTTGCAAGTCATCGTGGAGTCCACAGTGGGGAGAAACCTTACAAATGTGAAGAATGTGGTAAAGTCTTCAGTCAGACTTCAAACCTCTCAAGGCATTGGAGGGTTCATACTGGGGAGAAACCTTACAAATGCAATGAATGTGGCAAAGCTTTTAGTGTGCGTTCAAGCCTAACTTCCCATCAGGTAATCCATACTGGAGAAAAACCTTACAAATGTAATGAATGTGGCAAGGTCTTTAGTCAGACTTCAAGCCTTGCAATTCATCAGAGAATTCACACTGGAGAGAAACCTTACAGGTGCAATGAGTGTGGGAAAGCCTTTAATTCACATTCAAACCTAAATACCCATCAGGTAATCCATACTGGACAAAAACCCTATAAATGTCTAGAATGTGGCAAGGTCTTTACTCAAAATTCACACCTGGCAAATCATCGTAGAACCCACACAGGAGAGAAACCTTACAAGTGTAATGAGTGTGGCAAAGCCTTCAGTGTGTACTCAAGTCTGACTACTCATCAGGCAATCCATACTGGAGAAAAACCTTACAAGTGCAATGAATGTGGTAAAGTCTTCACTCAAAATTCACACTTAGCAAGTCACCGTAGGACTCATACTGGAGAAAAACCTTACAAATGTGATAAGTGTGGTAAAGCCTTTAGTGTGCGTTCAAGCTTGACTACCCATCAGGCAATCCATACTGGAGAAAAACCTTATACATGTAGTGTGTGTGGCAAAGTTTTTAGTCGAAGTTCCAACCTTGCGAGTCATCAGAGACTTCATATTGGACAGAAACATAAGTGACTGTAGCAAGGCCTCCAGCCCCAATTCACTTGCACAATATCCAGGAATTCAGTCTTAAGAAAATATTAATTTAAATGATAGAACAACATTCATCAAGAATTAAAGTACATCACTGGTTATGGTGGTATGCATGCAAACCACACACTTATCAGACAGTTGTGGGATTTACCAGAGGAATAAGTCTTCATCTTCCATAGCTAATCTTTGATGTTGCAGCCTACAAAATAATTGTTAATTGCAGAACAATTAAAAGTCAGAATAGGCTAAAACTATACACACACACACACACACACACACATATATATATGTTGCAAGACTACATTGATATACTTGGTTGCCTTCAAGATAATAAATTAGTCATTGTTTTGTATTTCCTTGCAAAGTCTTCCTTATTATTTATGATTGTCAGTCTCAACTTTGTGATGGTACAATTCTTGCCCCAGGGTCTTTTTCTTGCACCCTCTGGGAAAAACAAGATGGAAAATCACATTAGTATGAAAGGAACATGTCTATAATTTCTGAGAATGGCTCCACCTTTTGAATTAACTATTGCTTAACTTATTGTTTTAATTTGTTTTAGTTGTGATTAACCCTATGACCAAAGCCAACTTGGGGAGTAAAGTGTTTATTTCATCTTATGGATTATAGTTAATTAAGATAAGCCAGAGCAGAGGCTAGGGTAAGAACGTGGAGACAGGAACTAAGGTAGACAATAGAGAAGGTATGCCTGCTGGTTCACTTTTCATGGCTTAACTACCCTTACCGCCCAGTACCACGTAGCAAGGGGTAGTAGTGCCCAAATTGGACTAGGCCCTCCCAGAAAATGTTTGTCAGATATGCTCAGAGTCCAGCCTGATGGAGGCAATTTCTTAAGAATCCCTCTTTCCAGACAATTCCTGGGTGTCAGGTTGACAAGATCTAAACAGAACATTTATCATCTGAAAGGCATGGGATATTGTAAAACTGCAACACAAAGTTTTCAACTTCATTGTGTAATTTGGGGGGTTATCTGTGTGGCAACAGCAATTAAGTGGGAAAGAAATTAGAATATTGAACTTTTTATGAAATGAGAACAATATTCTCATAGGGATGGATTGTCTGGTCATAGGGATGGGTTGTCTGGTAAAATACTTCTAAGGCATAGTTAGCATCTACGTTGACTGGCAAGAGCTTTTGTATAGCAAAGTATAATTTTTCTTACTGTTTAATTTGAAGAATGAAACATTTAGCCCAAGGAGTCGAAGTGTAGGAGCTGGCCAAAGAAGTTGTGGAGAAGCACTTGTCTACTATATGTGAGGCCCTCAGCAGCACCAAAAGTAGAAATACACTAAAGTTTTCTTGAGGATATCATTTAACTACTCTTGTTAAGCTTTGCCACTATTTTATTCAAAATATATCCTTGATCTAATTTTTAGTTAAACACATCCTGTGAATGTGTTTTTAATTCTTCTGTATAGACTTTTTCTGTATCAATACAATGCTCATCCATGGAAATGAGAAAACGAAGTAAAACTACTCAGGTTGAGGTTTCTATACTTTGTCTGAAATCAGAGGCTATAAAGTTTTAGGGCCCTATAATCATTTTTCATTGAATTTATTCTGTCTATGCCCAAAGGATACTTGTGTAGGTATAATGGATATCAAGAAGATACATTGTGTAGACTACCAAAGCAAAGATGACATGTTTTTGTATATACCTCTTGACTCTTTATAGCTGTGCAGTACTTCTGACTTTTCATTGATTGATACGAATTATGCAGTCTTCATTCTGGTTGACTTTCCACATCAATAAAATTTGAAAAACAACAGTACTATTAGAATCATGAATTCAACTATTTAGTGAAAAAGCTTACCTTAAGCACTATTTAGTAAACATGAAGTTAAAATACATGAAGTAATATGAATAAAATATTTAAGAATTTCTGAAGGGAGATAATTTATTACTTTGCTATTATGCTAGAATAACCACCAAAAAAGCAAGTTAGGGGGGGAAAGGTTATTTTTTATTTATTAAAAATTTCTACCTCCTCTCATTTCCCTCCCACTCCCCCCACTTCCTCTCCCCCTCCATCTCCAGTTCTAAGAGCAGTCAGAGTTTCCTGCCCTGTGGGAAGCCCAAGGTCCTCCTCTCTCCATCCAGGTCTAGGAAAGTGGGCATCCAAACAGACTAGTCTCCCACAAGGCCAGTCCATGCAGTAGAATTAAAACTCAGTGCCATTGTCCTTGGCTTCTCAGTCATCCCTCATTGTCAGCCACATTCAGAGAGTCCAGTTTGATCGCATGCTCCATCAGTCCCAGTCCAGCTGGCCTTGGTGAGCTCCTATTAGATCAGTCCCATTGTCTCAGTGGGTGGACATACCCCTCACGGTCCTGACTTCTGTGCTCATGTTTTCTGTCCATCTGCTCCTCATTTGGACCTTGGGAGCTAAGTCCAGTTCTCCAATGTGGGTCTCTGTCTCTATCTCCATCCATCTCTGGATGAAGGTTCTATGGTCATATGCAAGATATTCATCAGTGTGGCTATAGGATAAGGCCAGTTCAGGCAACCTCTCCTCTGCTGCCCACAGAACTAGTTGGGGAAATCCCCTTAGACACCTGGGAACCCCTCTAGAGCCAAGACTCTAGCCAACCCTAAAATAGCTCCCTCGGTTAGGATAACTTCTTCCCTGCTCCCATATCCACCCTTCCTTCATCTCAATTATCCCATTCCCCCAAACTCTCCCAAATCCTCCCCTTTTCCTTTCTCTCTACCCGTCTCCCCTTCCCCCCAATCCACCCCTGCTCCCCGGCTCCCAACTTTTGCCTGATGATCTTGTCAACTTTCAATATCCAGGAGGAAAAATATATTTTTCTTTGGGTTCACCTTATTTAGCTTCTCTAGGATCACGAACTATAGGCTCAATGTCCTTTGTTTATGGCTAGAATTCGCTTATGAGTGAGTATATACCATATTCCTCTTTTTGGGTCTGGGTTATCTCATTCAGTAAAGTGTATTCTGTTTCCATCCATTTGCATGCAAAGTTCAAGACCACTTCCTATGTATAACCCCAGTAGCACAGACAATAAGGGCAACATTGAATAAATGGGACCTCCTAAAACTGAGAAGCTTCTGTAAAGCAAAGGACACTGTCATTAAGACAAAAAGGCAACCTACTGAATGGGAGAAGATCTTCACCAACCCTGCAACAGACACAGGTCTGATCTCCAAAATATATAAAGAACTCAAGCACAATTTTAAAAATATCCAAACACAAAACCTGCTTTAAATATTGAGCATATTGAGAGGAAAATATCTTCCCTTAAGAGGTTGGTAATTTTCTGAATGTCATAGTATAGAAGCCCATGTGTTTGTCTACAGACTTTATCTTCATTTTCCTATGGATCTTCTGTCTACAATTGAGATTTACAATATTATCAGGAGATATGAATAGTAAAATTGTTGCAATTATGAAACACACCAGAATATATGTGTTTTGCTCAGGAACCAAATAAAAATGTATTGATTTAGCAAAAAAAAAAAAAACCCTCAAGAAACTAGACTTTAAAATGCTGATTAACCCAATTAAGAAATGGGGCACTGAACTGAACAGAGAATTCTCAACTGAAGTTCAAATGGCCAAAAGACAATTAAGGTCATGTTCAAGTTCCTTAGTGATCAGTGAAATGCAAATCAAAACAACTTTGAGATACCATCTTCCACCTGTCAGAATGGCTAAACTCAAAAACACCAATAGCCTTTGCTGGAGAGGATGTGGAGTAAGTAGATCACTCATCCATTGCTGGTGGGAATGCAAACTTGTGCAACCATTTTGGAAATCAGTGTGGCGGTTTCTCAGGAAATTTGGGATCAACCTCCCTCAGGATCCAGCAATACCACTATTGGGAATATACCCAAGAGATACCCAATCATACTACAAAATCTTTTGTTCAACTATGTTCATAGCAGCATTATTTGTAATAGCCAGAACCTGGAAACAACCTAGATGCCCCTCAGTGGAAGAATGGATAAAGAAAGTATGGAATATATATGCATTAGAGTACTACTCAGTGGTAAAAAAACAATGACATCTTAAATTTTGCATGCAAATGGATGGAAATAGAAAACACTATCCTGAGTGAGGTAACCCAGACCCCAAAAAAAGATGAATATGGTATGTACTCACTCATTAATGGATTCTAGACATTAATAAAGGACATTGAGCCTATAATTTGTGATCCTAGAGAAGCTAAATAGGAAGGTGAATCCAAAGAAAAACAGAACCCTCATCTGGCGATGGATGGAGATAGAGACAGAGACCCACATTGGAGAACTGGACTGAGTTCCCAAGGTTCTTATGAGGAGCAGGAGAGAGAACATGAGTAAGGAAGTCAGGACCATGAGGGGTGCGTCCACCCACTGTGATGGTGGGGCTGATCTAGTGGGAACTCACCAAGGCCAGCTGGACTGGGCATGATGGAGCATGTGATCAAACCAGCCACTCTGAATGTGGCAGACAAGGAGGGCTGACTGAGAAGTCAAGGACAATGGCACTGGGTTTTGATTCTACTGCATGTACTGGCTTTGTGAGAACCTAGTCTGTTTGGATGCTCACCTTCCTAGAACTGGATGGAGCGGGGAGGACCTTGGACTTCCAACAGGGCAGGGAACCCTGACTGCCCTTTGGACTGGAGAGGGAGGGGGGAGGGGGGATGAAGGGAGTGGGAGGGAAATTGGAGGAGGTGAAAATTTTTTAATAATAATAATAATAAAAACCTGGAAAAAATAAAATGATGTTAAATGTAATAAATGAAGTGGTGATCTCAGTGACTCCACCCAGCAATGCTTTTATCTTGTGAAAAGGAATTAAGGTATAGCTTAAGGAATGAAGGAAATCATTAACAAAAGAAAGTTGAAACACATGTAATTGAATGAGGGGCCCACATTTCAGCTCCAGCAAGTAGCAGAACTTAGCATCTTTGGCCGTGTGGATCTGACTTTTTGAGACCAGTTGTACAAGAAAAGAACTGAGACATGTCCCTCTGTAGCTAAGAAAAATTGCTGAGGCCATGTGTATTTCAGTGCTTTCCTCCATAAAGGCCCAGATATGCTTTGCATGAAGCTGTGAATTTGAATCCTTTATTACTCTGGGGACTCCCCCAAGGTGGTGGAGATGCCAAAATGTGAGATACCCACCAAGAACTGCTAAAAGCAAGTGGAATAAGTTCCCGAGAGAGAAGTGTGTTGTAGTCAACTGAAAAGTGTTGGATATCTGAAGAGTTCTTTGACATCAGACATGGAGATGTAAAGGTTAGAATTTGCCATGTTAGTTTGAAGTTCTTTGGTCCAAAATTTCCTCACTATGATTTCTTTCCTCCCATTTGAATGGTGTTGAATATTCAATGCCATTGTCTGTGATCTATTTTTTGATTTTGATTTTACAAGGGGTTACATTTAAGAGATTGCTCTGAGTCTCAAAAGAGACTGTGGACTTCTAAATAGTGTTGATACTGTTGTAGATTATGGGGTCTTTAAAAGCTGGATTGAATGCAAATTTGGACTGAATGCAAAATTGTATATGATATAGCTACAAGTCTATGGTGCTTGGGAGTGAAGTGGGTGGTTTCAATAAAAATAACCCACAATAGTCTCATAGATTTAAGTATTTGGTCTTTAGTTTGTTCCTCTTGACAATGATTAGGAGCTGTGACCTTGTCAGAAGAAGTGTCTCACTGGGTACAGGATTTGGGGTTTCAGATGTTCAAACCAGGCCCAGCGTCTCCCTCCCTGGTGCCTACCAATGAAGATTTGGAACTATGCTACATCTGTAGCACCATATCTGCCTGCATGCCACCAGGCTTACCACCATAATGGTAATGGACTAAACCTCTGAAAGTGTAAGCCAGCCTCAATTACCATTTTTCTTGTGTAAGCATTGCCAAGATCATGGTGTCTCTTCATAGCATTTGAACACTAAGACAGAAATTATATACATTAAACGAGAAGGAAGTACAAACAATTTTATATTTTTCAAGCTAAACCTCTTAGAAGGAAAAATAATTCATTATGTTTCCAATCAAAGAAGCCTACTGTTTTCTTGGTGTATTAGGTGGTGTAATAGGGCGTAGACCCTTGTTATAACATTTTCATATGTGGTGCAGGAGAATTATCTGTATTCTGTCAATCATATTTTAATAAAACGCTGATTGGCCAGGCAGGCAGTATAGGCGGGAAAGCCAGACAGGAAGTAGGGGTGGAGCAAAGAGACTGGGAGTATTCTGGAAGCAGAAGCTCTCTCTCAGCCATTCCTGTACAGACCACCGAAGAGGCAGCATGTAACTTGCCCAGCAGAGAAAGGTACGGAGCCATTATGGCTAACATAGATGAGAATAATGGGTTAATATAAGTTATAAGAATTAACAAGAAGCCTGACCTAATGAGCCAATCAGTTTATAACCTTATGGAGTCTTGTGTGTGATTTTCTTTGTTGCTTGCCGGCTGTTGGGGTACTGGGAGGGACAGAAACCCCAACAAGCCAGCCCTCATACTACATATGGCGCCCCACGTTGGGTGCCAATTATCGGCGAATCAATCCCACACCAGTTATGTTTTAAGTGGTTATTTATTTTGGGGGGTAAAACTTACATACACCTTAAACCGTCAGGAAGGGAGCCTAGTCGCCGGAGCCGGGAGCAGGAGCCAGGAGCAAGCACCAGAACCAAGAGCCGGAACCAAGAGGGCCTGATCCGGATCTGCTTCTCTTTTTAAAAGAGAAATATACCACGCCCCAGTGGGCTGGTATTTCAGCAGCTATTGGCTGACGGAGCGGAAGTC